AGTCCATTTACCATAGGTCATATGCTATAAACCCTGTGGTACAGCCTAAGATTTGATCTTTAATGGCCTTTTTTATAGTGTTCATTACTTTTACTTTTATACTTTAAGTAGTTTCAAAACCATTACTTTTATACTTTTACTTGAGTAAAAAGCTCGAGTTGATACTTCTACTTCCAAAAAAGTATTTTTAAACCCTAGTATCTACAGTATACTTCTACTTAAGTAATGAATGTGAATACTTTTGACACCTCTGATTTTTTATAGGTGGGATTCTGTGAATCATGAACAAATATATATATTTTCAGATATAGATACTAATGGTTGATAGGTAATGTGATGCTTCCCAAAAATCTAAACTAAAACAACAACTGTACTCAGTCTAACAATCCTTTGCTGTGCAACATAACTTTGAAAATGACAGAAGGGGACAGCTCTGTATTTATTAGTACTCAAGAATTTTGGTTGTATGATTAAAACTTTATAGTTAAAAAATTAAAGAACTACAACTCAATAACATTTGWAGTCACCTTAATTCAAGATGGCTGCCACAGCTAACTCAGCTGAGAGTCATTTCAACACACTTAGTGTTGCACACTGAGCATTGAACAGCATTAACTGATGAAGTCAACACTGTCTGTCTGTTTACACATCACTTCTACATGTATACTGCAATAAATAAACAACAAATGACCTCCTGTGACTCCATCCTGTCACTGCTTTTAAGTTCTTCTTCCTCCATCTTCAGTTCAGTCCATTTGACATTCTGACCTGTGGCATCAAATAAAGACATTAGGCTTAAGAAGATACAAGTTAAACATTTAGGATTTATCATCATAACACAGGGTTAACACAAATGAGTCAAACTATAAAAACAGTTTGTGCATTATTTAAAAAGCTGCAACATGAAATTGGTGTAAATGTTAAACTTTATCATTTTGTTGTTTAAAACCTGTTACAATTATTTACACATCATTACTATCAACTGAAACAGTTAAATAAGCATTTTGTTCCTACCCTTTGTGTGTGAAGGATGCTCCTTTGTGCTCCTGAAGTCAACAGCTTTTTTGAACGTATCAGAACAACAGAACTCCAAAMGACGCTGTGTTGAGTTCCATGGCAAGCAAACAGGAAACCGGTTCAAGACATCACATTTCCAAAACAAACTGATTTAAAAGTTGCAGCTTTCTACAACCTGCTTCAATAAATATATCACAATGGGAGTGTCTCTGTAGAACACATATATTTCTGTCTATTTTTGGCAGAAATAGCATTTCTTGTTGTAGATGAAACAAAATGAAGAAAAGTTCACATTTACTAATGATTCACAGACACAGGTGAGTAGTTAACATGGTAACCCTAATGAGCCAGTGTCAGCAGCCTTTTTTTTAACCAAAAAATGTGCTCCCAAATCTGGTACAATTTCGGCAACACCTGTAGGGAAAAAAGAGTGACTTAAGAGGCTTTGTGCTTTTTTTTTTTTATACAATCTTTGAAAACTCCCCACCTGTGCTTTTTGAAGACTCTCTTTTTTTGTTTCCAGTGGCTGAGTGAGAGCAATTAGAGTGCACAAGGCCAGAAAGCTGATGGAGGTTCGAGCGTTTTTAAGAGAAGTCACATCAAAACACATGCTGTACTCTTGTTCCTAGCAGCTGGCCTTGCAGGTGCACAAAACAAAATTGATGTTTTTAAAAAAAACACAGAAAGAATAGCAGGGGCACAAGATTTGACAAGAAAGTTAGCTGAACCAAAAAATAACATAAAATCAAAAGATAAGACATACACTTAATAAAAAGGATTTTAATATCCTAATTGTCATCAGAGGACAGATGAGCTTTTTACTTTTTTATAATATATTATTATCAGTAAATGATTTTGTACATTTTATTTTGTTTACAATTTTATTCTCCAAAAGAAAAAAAATGTGCATGCTTTTTTGGGGCTGACATTCCCTGGTCAGATGGAGCAGAAAAAAAAGAAAAGAAAAAAAAAGAAAAGAAAAAAAGGCACATGATTGCTCTTGTCCACAGTGAGCGATAGAGTCTGGAGAAACGAAGAAGCGTAGTGGTTTGTGTGAGTGCAGGTGAAATTCCTTTTGACTGGATGACGGCCAGCCCCTTTAAAGCCTATTACACGTCTGTCCTGGCCGGTGCATTATGTCGACAGCCATTTCCTCAAATTATCTTTCAAAAGAATCAATTTTGTGTAGCTGATGACAACAGTTATCTCTTCTAATTTACTTCAGTGAGCTCTGATAAAAGTCAATAGAGACATATAGGCGCACACACGCCCCCCCCCCCCCCCCCCCCCCCCCCCAATGATTTGAGACTTTTACAGTAGAAACCCTCCCGTAGGATACAGAAGCAGTGTTGGGAGACTGCGCAGAGGTGATGTGTTCTATACATATGGCTGAAKGTCAGAAAAGTGGGCTGTTTCAAACACCACAGCTGGTCTTAATGTCTGGTTTGAACACTAAGCTCAGTTTATGCTATTCATCTTTAAGACTCAGTGTAAGAGAAGCTCYGTGAGCTGAGGAAAGATCAGTGTATTGTGGAGTCAGTCATGTGAAAAACCACACAGCTCCTGCTCGTCCCTGAGCTGTCCACATTCAAAAGCCAACTTCGACTGTAAACGCTGCCCAAATTGTTCACAAGTCTTTCTTTTTTAAATCAGTGCCTAGGATGTTTAATCCAGTTTCGAATGATCCACTTCTGGCCGGAGCATCTCTGGACCACAAGACGTAAGCCAAAATTGGCATCTTTAGACATTTCGACTTCCAAACACCGACCAGTGTCTCTGTTAATAATTGGACCGTTCTGGAGAGAGAGAAGAAAAATGAAGGGTAGGGGAGAATCAGATGTACCATTACAATAAAACTGCGTCATTATTACATCTTTATGTCTGCTATGGCAAAGACTTAGGCTGTGTCTCAAGTCATGGGTTGCAGCCAACGTTGGCCACATTTGTCGGCCGCTTACTGGCCCGTGCCGTAGGCTGTCCCAATGCGTAGGTACCTACTCATGTGGCTGACAAATGCGGCTGACAAAACCCTGAAAATATAGGCTGCACCTGAGTATCCTACGCAGCCAACGGTATCCAGAATTCATTGTGCCATCAGCAAATCAAACAACTAAAGATGGCAGCGTTTTTTTATTCAATTTTAATTTATTTTAACTTATCACGGCCCAAAGAATGTAAGTTATGCAACTGAAGAATCTTTTGATGCAATGAAATGTTAAATTGAATGCAGTACTGATACTGTAGGTAAACCCAAATTATTAATATWTTTTTATTGATTTAATGGTTTTCTATTGAAATCTAATTTTGTGAAGTTATTCCTTGAAAAAACAATTGAAGTGATTTGATATAAAACATATCACCACAGTAATGAGGCAGCATGTGGTCACACAAACATGTCTTCTGTAGACTAGACCATTTCATTTCACAACTGTTTATGCAGCCGACACAAGCAGCCTATGACGCACGTAGACTGTGACCAACGTCGGCCACAATCTACGTCGGCTGCAACCCATGATTTGAGACACAGCCRGAGAGTCTGTGGTTTWAATGTTCACCTGTGTGAAGTCCCAAAGCCTTTGAGAAACCCTCGAGACGACCTCACACTTTTTCAGACTTGGAGTACGTCCTCTGCCGTCATCGATGAGACATTTTGTGTCGGGCAGGAAAGTCGTCGACCCCAGTGGTCCAAGCTGGAGAAGGCCTTCTGAAGAGTAGCGGGCAAGCTGCAATATCAGTTAAACATTGTTACACTACAGGGTCAAGCACTATGGTAACAATCATGCTTTTAAACTATACAAAAGGAGAGGGGGGATTCAGTGCATCTCTGAAAATCACATGGTTTGTATGTAATTTATTGAGAAAATGTGTCTGAATGTGATTTATACTGATGAATTTAAGCAAAGACATTGAGAAAAAAAGACAATAAACATATTAATCTGTTTTTGTGGATTTGTTGGCCTTGTTTATCCAGGGGCCTTCAAATCAACACTACATTCCATTTAGCCTGTACTTCATCACACATCTATAAAACACATAAACTACACCTTCCCATCCTCAAACCATATGTCACAAATCAAATTTGACCAGTTTCTTATTTTGGATACCAAATGCTTGTCCCTAACAAAAGTGGTTAAATGTGTGTGTTAAGATGTGAGGTGAAACGTCTTCAAGAATCAAGATTTAAATCCATCTGCCTTTTTCTAGCTGACATTGTGTACTGGTTGAGAATCCACACCAGCCAAGCAGAAGCAAACAATAAAAAGGTTCATATTAAGAACTGTGGATGTTCAAACCAGATGAACAACCATCACTTATTATGTTTGTATGCAAAAACTACCAGGAGAATTAAAGACCAAAGGAAAACATGAATAAAACTATTTGATCTTTGACACTCTCAAATCATCTCAACAGTTTCCTTTTGGCACTTTGATGATAATTTGCTTCTTATTCAGCATAAAGACAAACAGGCACCAAGATCTTGGTGCTACTGTTTCTTTCTTTAAGTTTAAACTAAATTTTGTACAAATATTTTCACAATCATTTTGTACATTTCTCTTTATCCCTTGACAATTTCATGATGTTCCTGAGAAAACAAAAAGCCCCATCGCTGCAGCCTTGCTTAACCCTTCTTTTGAAACAAATAAGGCCAAATAATGTCATGTAAYATCCTGCATTCTAGTTCCATATTTTGTTGAGCTGCTTAGTGTACAGCACTGCATGGAAACCACAGCTCATTAAGCCAAGAATAACTCTGCAAACCAAAACTTGATCCCTCACTGTTTAATGTTGCACATGAAGGGCTTTGTGCTGATACGTATCTGTTACGTAAGGATACAGTCGAGACAAAGGAGTGATCCTCTCTGGAAAATGAGATATCAGTGATGGGACGGTTTTCAGTTTGACAGCAGCTTGTCTATTAAAATGCTGATTCAAGTGCACGCGCGCGCGCACACACACACACACACACACACACACACACACACACACACACACA